GGAGAGTCTTGGGTACCTCACGACGATAGGAACCCCTCCCTTGCGCTAAATTCCGGGAAGGGTGTCTAATCCTGTGTCCTATCCCAACCACTAACTGCAGCTCTAACCCTGACTCCAACCTTAGCCTTAATCGCCCTGGGATCGGGTATAATGCACCTTTATTCCGAGCGAGGGAGGCGGTCCCAATTCCCGCGTCGACAACGATAGGGTGTGTAGGATCCCAACTAACTTGAGGTAGCCTGCGGACCGTGTCATACGTTGAATGGTGGTAGAGGGGGTTTTACGGGTGGGGCAACACGCAGGACGAAGAGCAGGCGGAATGCAATAAGACACAGAAAATAATTGAATTTTCGCCGAAAGTCTTATTGCATGCATGGCAGGGAAAGCGAGCGCGCTAATTTTAAAAATGGAAATAACGGATTTCGAATAAACCACCACCAGCAAGTATACATTCAGTCAGGAAGGTCAGAAAATTCCAACCAGTAGGGATGTTTGCAATCACACGGAATTTTGGGGTACAAGTTGGAATTGTCGGCTACGTGAGATCCTACACCCTATCGTTACCCTCGCCTCTTACCCAATCTCGTTTGCTTCAAATGATAACAGTAGTTGGCGAGAGGACCTATCACGGGTAGAGAATGCAGCGCAGTAAGACAGTCGTAGGACCTTACCATATACATGGGGAGACCGTTAGCGGCGCGTGTGCTGCATCCTGAGAGGGTTTCTACTGTCGTCTGCCAATACATAGAAAGGGGAAACTATTAAAACACACTTGCTCCGATGTAGGCTCTTCGAAAATCGCCACAGCCGCACGCAGTATAGACCGAAAAATAAGCCTCAAACAAGAGACATATTCGCGCCTTTTGGGGAGCTCGTCGAGTAGGCTAGACATCGCGCCAATTCTGACCGGCCACTTTGGACCTCTCGGTGTTTCATCTACCAGTGTCAAATTTTGAGATGCTGCAAAGGACAGAAATGCCGTTTCTCGCATTCTTCGACTCGACAAAGGGTAAAGGGCATTCAGTCTAGTCAGCAAGCATACTGAAAAATAAAGAAGATTCGTCGAATCTCTTTGACTTTGTTTTGAAGGACACTACCCGCCGATCTATATGTTCCTTAGCAAAACCAAAATATGAGCGCTCTCGAATCCATGCGTTTATGAAGGCTACTTTCTGTCGCCGAGTGGATGCTTATCATGTTCATTTCCTTGAGCTACAGTTCTTCAGCCGGCGACGTTGGGCTATCTATGACGAAAAGGATATGTTTGTGAGTTTACTCGCCCTGCTTATTTTCATGATGGGTCTGTGCGCCACTAACCTACAAAAAAAGAAAACGCGGGTTGCGTTACACGGCAGCACAATGACGATATACTTGTATTCGTATGGTACGAGATCTAAACATGCTGATGTATGTTTATACGGACAAGGTTCGATGCCTAAACGATTCGGGTTTAAGAATGCGGGCTTTAGTATGATAGGGTATTATTGGCGGTTAGTTTTGCTGGCACCGTCCACGCAAACATTATGAACAGTATTCAACAACAGCGTTGAGGCGGTTATAGGGGTTGCCGCGTTCACAGGATACACTGCGGTCAGGGGTATAAGTTAAGGCCTGTGACGGTTATATTTCTGTCCAGTCCTCTTCCTTTTACCTCCACCGTCGTCCTTGAGTGGACCATTCTTTGGACTCAGTTATACCTACTACTTATAGCAAGGATCTATCTTTACCAAGGAGGAGCAACGAATGAAGCAGGTTTGCTAGCACTTCTGGCTCCCCTGGCCAGCGGAATGTCTTTTGTCCAGTGGACATAACACTCATTTTGATGAAGCGGACACGATCTTTGGAACAAGAGCTTTATTCGCCTGACGTTTCGGATTCCTGATCGAGCCCATCATCAGAGACAGTAGCAGATACGGGTGGTTCATACATAAGGGATGCAGTATTTATAGGATAGATTCGCCATGCTACTAAATACCTGTGTAAGTTCACGACCCCCCGCCATTTTATCGGGGATTATTCCACTTGGCGTGATGACCGTTTGATGGCCGACATTCGTGTCGTTAATCGCTGCAATTTCATCACGCTCATTGTATTGCCACACAACTTCCCCGTCCCGGCACCATCACCCAATCCGCGCTGGGTGCGATGAGTGGCAGAACTAAAACAACCCATCTGCGTGTGCCACACAAGGAGGTGAGCTGCTCGGGCTACAGGGAGAAGGAGCCAAAGAACACAGTTCAAACCTGTGTGGGAGGTGCCTATTCCGAGCTTGTGGGGGATGGTGGACGACGAGTTCATGTGTGGTAGGTGTGTGCTGATTGGGCTTGGTCTGGGGTGCTTTACCGCAGATCTGCATGGAGGCGCATGCGACCGAGTGGGCCCTTGCGGTGATGGAATATGCGTGAGCAGTGCGGGCAGTTGAGCCGGATGCGGCCAATGTATGTGGGTGCTACTGGCAGTGGCTCGTCAGTCTTCGTGCGATGGATTCGCAAGTGACCTACCAGGCCAGTACATGATGTGCATTTGTGGTGACAGTATGGGCAGAATAAACTGTTGTGTTGTGATGCTGCTTGCGGTGATTACGCTGGTAAAGGGGTGGGTGTTGGCAATGCTGGAGATGGGAGAGTTGATGGAGGTGCAAGATATGGTTGAGGTGCCGAAAACGCCGTGATTTCTTCTGTAGTGGATGCGCACGTGGTTGTCCCCTTCCCTCGCCTCCGGTCTTCTTGGCTCTGCCTTGACACCGGGTCCAGGTGGGGAGTGGGGAGGAGGAGGGAGTGCGGTAGATGCTGCGCAAGTCTACCATCACTATAACCTAATTCACGCGCAAATCACCGTGCCTGCTGCTCCTTGCTGTGTAGCACACGGTGGACATCGTCGGAATCGACAGTCGAACTGTCGGATGCCAGTAGGTCTGTGCAATGATTGAATGTGTACGGGCAGATGTGAACATCCCGCCACCACCGGCACCGGAGATAATGGTGATAGGGCAACCCACCTGCACTCGTACAAAGTCAACGCCTCGAAGCCGAGGCACCTGCCGTGTGAATCGCCTAAGCAGACATACAATCGCATAACAGAAATACGAAGTACATAAATACAGCTTTCCACAGCCCAATTCCCCCCCGGTATTTTCTATCGCCCACTCAATTTGCCCCAAGTTGGGCGGCTTAGCATTGTCCACTGCGTATAGCACTTACTTCTGTCCCCCCTCTCTCTAAGTAGCCTAACCTTGTCGGAAGAACGGGGCCTGCCTGCCTGCTGGCCGAGTTGCCAGTTACTGGACGTGTTTGGCTATCTGTGGCATTCCTCGGTACCTGTGCAAAATGGCCTGACACCAAACCCCCAAAACAATAAACCGAGGGGGCTTTTTGACAGTCATATGCTTAGCTATAGCTAATATCCCCTCCAGCATCCCAGTGATTTGTCGGTAGTCCACTGACCACAGCTAATAGCTAAGGCTTAGGCCACGTGAAACTGCTGCCCCCTCTTCGATCCTCTTTCTTTGATTTACGGGGACAACAACTGTTCGCTGTACTGCTGCCGCAGCGACCAGTTGGATTCGTTAAATTCATGGTTGCTTCACAAGTTGCGGTAAATCAGCACATTCTCCACTGTAATAGGTCTGATGTACTTGAATATATCACGACGCGCTAAGAGTCGTGACTTGAAAGGCTGCCAACTGATAATTCATTCTCCATGGATGACAGGAAGACTAAAAAGCAGGCCACAATGCTTCCTTATTACTCATCCTCAATCGTCTGACCGCTGAGCCGCCTGGTTCATGGTGTGAAATGCGACAGTTAGACCGCCGTTCCGGACAATGTCCACCGCGCGCTTCACAACATGGTGAGAGCAGGCACGGGTATTCGGTCAAACGTGTAGAGGTACAATCCGCGGGTCGGCTGGGTAAGGCATGATTACACGGGAGTGATGTTCATCGGTTGGGCCTGTTCGCTTATCCGCATTGCAAACGTTGCGTTTTTGCCTGAGTCAGATGTGCCTCCCTGACCAACCAATTGCCTAAAGAGATTTGTCAGCAGAGGCAGAGTTTTATCATTCGGGTCTGGTAAGATGAATTCATCTGGTCTCGAAGACTTCACTCCCTGCCGATAAAAGCGAAGATGCGAGTTTCGGGAACTAGTTGATGAAACGTAGAAGCGATCGCTGGAACAAGGGCTTTATTCCCTTGACCTTTCGAAGTCTCACTTGCACCCATCATCAAAGACAGGGATAGAAACGGGGATTCATGCACAGGAAGTTGTAGTACTTATAGGATGCAGCCGCTGTGCTACTGCATACCTATAATAATTAACCGCACTCGCCTTCATCGAGGATTGTTGCCCGCTGGTGCGCCAATTGCTTGATGACCGGTATGCACGTTGTTAATTGCTGAAATTCCATCACCCGTGTTGGATACTGGCGTGATTATCGCTCGACCATCTGGCCCACTGGCCTGCGCGCTCCCCGGGTGGTCAATTACCTTGACCAGTCTATGACTCAGTACGGAATATGGAGTGGGGATGTCGTTGCACTTGTTGATAGACTGAGGTCCCGTGAACCATGACTCAAGCAACTCGCGGCTCACGCAAGTATCCCTTCTCGCGAGAATTTTGGCCTCATCGAACCGGAATGTATGGCCGGGTCTCGTCGTGTGGGCCGCGACCTGAGATGTGGCGTCATTTTTCCGCGCCACTACCGCGTGTTCGCCGATTCGCGTCCGGAGCAGTCTTGCAGTATCTCAGACCTAGTTGCTTTGCCCGCAACTGCACCAGATCCGGTAAACAACTCCAGATGTTTATTGCCTCCTATAAATATTGCAACTTCCTGTGCA